CAACTTCACTCAGAACAGCATCGACAAGTGTCAACGCGAACAGTTGGAGCTTTCATTGAGGACGCATGAAACCTATAAAAGAGGAATGACCTTATAAGTATTGTCTTTTTGTTTTCCACGAGAGTCATAGACTCATCTCACCTCTCACGAATGATCATGACACTTTTTCGCAACAGCCTCTCATTGGAGGTTGTAATGTGTCGACGACGTCGGCCGCAGCCCGCGTTTGTGACTGCACAACTCAGGGTTGGTCAACGATCTCTCGCGATTGACCAAGCATTTCAGGTCTCCTTGGTGACTTCGTATGTTTTGGCAGTCGGTATGAAAGCCGAGAAGCGGTTCGGAGCCCACCACCTACTTCAGGGGCTAGTATCGATTGATTTTCCGCTTAAGCAAGTTGACCAACAATCCCAAGGCCCATGTTCTTCGATTCTGCTGCGAAGTCAAGTGGCTTTCCGGTATCTGGGTTCAAAGCCTCGGGTAGTAAGAGGCAACTGTTATTTGAACAACGTGCATTTTTTTTTGCCTTCGTCAAAGAGCTGGAAAGTATCACCTGTTGCTTGCTTGATGACTTCAGGATATGTGCTGGATCCCAAAGACAACTGTCTGGACATGGCTCCTGGTATAATTTCCCATAAAAACTTCTTCAAACTCAACTGACTCCCGTCGGCCTTCTTCCTGGGGAGTAGTAACTCAGTCTGAGCTATCACATATACCGTGGACTTCCGTTTCTTCTTCCAGAGATACTGGTCGAGTTCTTCTGACATTTGAACCGTTTGGCACAAGAAGAGCAGATAAGTAACTCGATAGCAACGCAGATGTGTATCTGTCTATCGACGAATAAATTTTTTGTCTGTGAAGTAATCTCCGGCCCATCCATTACAGGGACATAAAACTGGGTGGGATGCACTTACGGTCACCCTAAACGTGATAGCGGGAGCAGACCGTGACAACAGATCGCGGTGTCAGACGGTCAGGGCAGATCGCGAGAATGTATCGCGAGAGAATATCGCGAGAACAGATCGTGAGAATAGATCGCGCAAGTATCGCGAAAGCATCGCAAAAGTTATCGCGAGAACATCGCGAAAGTATCGCGAGAACATATCGCAAGAAGAGCTCGCAAGAGAAACACGCGCGAACAGCTACGTCCTAGCGCTAGTCATAGCGCTAGTCATGACAAGACGTATATCAATCAAGACATGAACGTCAAGTTCATGAGACAGAATAAGACCGCACACAACTAGTACGTTGATAGCTGGGATTTTTATATCGATTCTCTTAGAAGAGCTAAGACATGAGTGAGAGAAAAGATTTCGAGATTTCAAACAGATATGTAAACGTCTGTTTCCGAGCCATATAAGTGGTGATGAAATTCACAGTTAAGGGAGTCGAATAAAGTAATACTTTAGTGACGAGAAGTTGCTCTGGTCGATCGACAATAGGGGGTAAAAGGTAGTCGAGTGAGAGTGATGAATGATGAACGATGAATCTCTCACAACTATGAGAGAGAGAAAGAGCATAGAGCCCGACATATCATCATAGAAAAATGTGCGAGAAATCACTATTTATATAGAAAGAGAAGAGCATATATATAGAATCTTGAAGGTTGAAGATTGAAGATAGAGAGAGAGGAATGAAGGGCAAAAGGCGGGAGATGGGTAGGCTGTAGAATATAAAAGAAGAAGAGAAAGAAAGAGCAAAGAAAAAAGTAGGAGACTATATACCCTCCTACCGAGCATTCACTGATTCCGTGCGGTTGTAGTTGATATTCACTTTTTTTCCGGAAGGAAGAGAAGGCAATGATAGCGAGCGGGAGCTAGTCCTATCTTGGAATTGGCGCGACGAGTCGCGGAAAAGCGATGGCTTATCGATAAGGGTGAATGACATCACCGGTTGTGAAACGGGGATAGTGAAGGGGAGGTACTGGGTTCGATTTTATGATGCGTTGACACAAGAGCGTATATGAGTTAAACTGAAGCTGAAGAGATTGGTTTAGTGGATAGGTAACTAGCTATATGACATGTTTAAGACATAGGAAAAGGGGAACAAAGGAATGAAAATAGCCCACCCACTGTATAGGAACACCATCACAGCCGTCTCTCTTTCACCGGTAACTCCATCGACAAATAGATATAACACAGAAAGCAACGAACCATTCAAGCAAAAAGCACCGTTCAATCATCACCCGTAACACCAGCCAGCACATTCCCACTCCCACGCCTCGCCCCAGCCCCATAAACCATCTCCATCAACTTCGCCTTCTGCCTCTCCCTCACCTCCCTCAAATACTCATACGCCCCCTCCAACCCCCTAATCTGCCCCTGAACCACAAAGTCCACCATCGAACCCTCCCCATCCCCAGCACCACTACCACTACCACCACCTACCCCACCCCTCCCCCCCTCCTCCCCCGCCAACCCCTTCAACACACTCCCCCCACCACCCCCGGACGACCCAACCGCCACAATCGGACTAACCAACTTCCTCCTCAACGTCTCCAACCCAACCTTCAACGTCAACAACTGCCCCCTATGATTCGTAATCAAATACTTATTCGCGACAGTCCTCTCCCTAACATCCCCCAACAACCTCTTATTCTTCTCATACTTCCTCACAAGCGCCGCGTTCGCACCCACAATCTTCGCCCACAGGGACCCGAGCATCTCGTCCTCCGCGCGCTCCTGCGCGTCGGATTCACGCGCGACCGTGCGCTGGAGGTTGAGGAATTGCCGATCGATGGATTCGAAGAGGGTGAATAGCGCGGTGGAGTGTGTGAGTTCGGTGTTTATGGAGTCTTCGAGGACGTTTAGGAATTCGGTGAAGGTGTGTGTTAGGGTTGAGATTGTGCGTTGGGTGGATGTTTTGCCGAAGATGGTGGTTACTATGCTCCCGAATTGGGTGGGGACTTTTGCGCCTGTGTCTGCGTCTTCGATGCGATCTAGTGCCCCGAGGCGGGAGAGGAGGGAGTGGATGTTTTCGAAGACGATGGAGAGGAGGTTATTGCTAGCGTGGTGGGAGGAGGATAGCGCGGAAAGTTCACGTTTCGCCCAGTCCATGACTATGAGGATGGAGTCGATGTCTGCGTCGACGTTCGCGAAGAAGCGGGTGAGTTCCAGGGAGAGGGATTTTAGGGATTCGGAGAGTTCGTCGAGTTCGCGGACGATGATTGGTGCGCTGGTCATGTTTGTGCTGCGGACGGATTCACCCAGGTCCCAGACTGCGACGCCGGTTTCTTGGAGGGTGCCGATTTGTTGGACGCCGTTTTCGGAGTAGTAGATTAATGGTTCGAAGGAGCGGGCTAGGCCGGAGAGTTTGACCAGATCGGGAACTGGTGGTGGGACGGGAGGGAGGAATAGAGCGCGGAGGGTAGTTATTGATATCAAGGCAATAACGACAGAAAGAGTCGTGCTTGCTCGCGTCTTCGTGATAGAGTCCAGTTTCTGACGGATATAACTGAAAAGCGCAACGAACGGTTCCCGATGCTGTACCTCAGCCCGTAAAGCGAAGCGAATATCTATAAACACTCATTAGTAACAACTCTCTCATACGACAAACAGGTAGAACACATACAATTATTCAACGCCGGCCCCTCCTGCTCCCCAACTCCCTCATCCCTATCCGGACTCGGCGACCTCCCTTTCAACGGCGAATCCGTCCCCGGCGGCAACGGTATATTCGCCGGAATCGTCAAATCCGCATCCAACGGATGGCGTCCAGAAACAACAGGCTCCGCCTTCCCCTCCACCGCATCCTCATACTGCGGACTCGGATCCCGCGACGATCGCGCAGGACTACTCCTACTCGTCGTCGCAACGAGTTGAGGACCAGGTTTTAAATGTTTGAAATGCTCGCGATCCGCGTCGCGGTATGGTTGGTGCCGATACCACGCGCTTCCCGGGTGTTTGTGGTGGTGTTTAGCTCCGGGTGGGGACCAGGGGCTTGTGGAGGAAGTTAGGTCTGCGTCTAAATCGGGGTTTGCGTCGAGGTCGATGTCGATGTCGACGTCGTCGTTGTCGTGGTTGGTGGAGTCATCGGATCGGAAACCGGAGTGTTGGGATGGGATTGTGAAGGGGGGGCGGGGGATATACCTCGCATTGTTGGTACTATCATTGTTGCGATTGTTGTGGTTGTTCTCCTCGAAGTCTTCTAGGGAGGCGGAGAGGGAGGGGTGGTCGTCGAAGTAGATGTCTTCTGGCTCCATGATGCTGATTGATACTCTCTGAGAGCGGGGTGACAGGCGATTATCCTCCTCTTTTCTCGAGTGCTTTATCACTATCGCATGTGGTTTGCGATGGGTTGCGACGGATGGGAAAGAGGGGTTGGGATGGGATGCGGGTTAAGCGCCCTGTCTCGCCCGTTTCGCAATCGCGAGAGGCTTCCCAATGTTTGGAAGGAAGAAAGGAAGAGAGGAAAGGGTTATCCGATAGATAGGACGGGATATATGGGTATCAAATCCTTAACTATATATGTAGAACTCGAGAACACGCTCTCTTCGAGATAAGTCACCTCGAGACAGCCCGTCGCATCTGCAGGAACAGTGACAGCAACAGCATCAGCAACAATAAACAACAGAACAGAGCAGGACTCGAGAATAAAATCACTTTCAAAAGAGCTCTTCTCTCATCGAAGAAAGTAATAGAAACAGGCAACAAGCAAAATCCCATCAAAGATGAAACATATCCATCTTCATCATCTTCGTCCTTGATCTCTATACCAACGAAGTCTCCCGTATGCCCTTAACCTCCCCTCTCAACCTCATCGATCGCATCAACCAAGGAATCCAGATAAATGTGGCTGGTCCAATAAAACGTAACCCCCCCTCTCAGTTTCAAACGTCGATTGTTCAAGGTTCGTTCTTATCCAACCATTTCATTAAATTCTTCGAATCCTCATGCTATCCATGGACGACCGTCCCCTCACCAACAAGAACATCAAACACGGGAGGCAGAAAAAGAGGGAGACTCATAAATCACCGTACCAACCAACCGAAAGTGGTAAAAGCCCTTGTAGCTCAGTGGTAGAGCGCGTCACTCGTATGATTTTCTTACTTGGCAGCTTCTTTTGAACTGTTTGGAATTCTGGTAACGATATGACGAGGTCCGCGGTTCAATCCCGCGCGGGGGCATCTTTGCTTCTTTTTTTTTTTATATTTTTAACATCGATTGACCAAGAGAGAGAGAGAAGCGAGCTTATGCTATCCTTTTGCCAGTGGTTGTTTTAATCGAGTACAGAGGAAGTCTTATATAGAGAGGAGAAATTCTTGAATTCATTACCAGCCCATTTTTATTCTGTTGTAGCAGCCGCCCACCATCGCCATGAGATAAATATGCTCACAAAGTGCCCATGCCGGGGATGTTAAAAAAAAGGTAATAAAGAGAAGAAAAAGTGGTACATCAAGAAGCGAATTTCAGCCCCAGTGGGTGGATTACAGAATAATAAAAAGGTGGTAAAGCACAAGAGGGCGTTAATTAAAGAAAAAGGAACAGAGACAAGAGGAAATCTATGGAGTTTTTGGGGGGTAGGAAATCTCTATTATTGAGAGTATTGGTACAGTGGCATCAACTCCATAACGTCCGAAGAGGCGCGGTCTCGAGAGGTCGGGGGAAGATCAGGGTTGAGAGAGATGGTGTGGAGGTAGGTTGTGTTGTGGAGATGCTTATGCGGTCTCGTTCTTGAGGAAACTATAGAAAGGAGAGTTGAGTTAGCCATCTACATTTTAACACAAATCCAGGGAGTGAAACATACGTGATGAGATCGTTGCGGTCCTTGCCCTTCTTCAAGCCACCGAAAGCCATCTTGGTTCCGGGGATATACTTCTTGGGGTTCTCGAGGTAAGTGTACTAAGGAGATAGTCAGTTATGATATCCATGTTGTAAATGAATGGTTAAACATACCAGAGTTTCCTCATTCCAAGTGATACCCTTCTGCTTGTTGGCATCGGTGTAGGAGAAGCCCTCGACCTGACCAGTCTTGCGGCCGAAGAGCCCGTGAAGGTTGGGACCGATCTTGTTGGCACCGCCCTCCTCGAGGGTGTGGCATTGAGCGCAGCGGGTCTAGAGAAAAGGATGTTAGTGAATGCGCTCGAGATGTAATGACACCGAATAGGAATAAAAGAATGTGTAGCTTACCTTGAAAAGACCGGCACCCTTAGCAGCATCGCCTGCACGAACAAGAGTGTTAGCTGCCTTTGCTTCGGCTGCTTTCTTCTCCTTCTCCGCCTTCTCCAGCATCTTCTCCCTCTCCTCAATGGCATAAAGCATGCAGACAGCCGGCATGACAGACATGGTGAACGGTGATGTGATTGTCGCAGGTCTTGTTGGCTGGAATATGCGTGTGTTGGTCCGGATCGTTCCGCTGTCGCAAACTAGGGTGCTTTCTAGACAAGTTCCCAAGAGTGTCGAAGAGACGGATCCGTCAAGGCATAAAGAAGTAGTGGTGTTGTAGAAAGTGGTGTTGTTGAGATAAAAATAGACCCAACGCGTCACGGAGTCGCTTTTTTCACCAACTTTCACATTTCGCGGACGTGACCGGCAAAAAGTGAGATGACGAGGTTCCAGACCATCACCGTCCCCAAGCTGTCCATGCTAACCGGAATATCGCAACTGTCGGCTGCACCTTTTTCCAAAGAGAGGTTTGTCGATGCGTAGAAAGAAAAAGTGCTTACCTGGCTTGAAAGACATGATGATAGATGTGAGAAGTGACGAAAGAACTCCAAAAAGGCAGGATATATCCAACAAGTAATACAATGATAGCAACAGCGAGTTGAAAGAATGGAATCAGTCAATTGAAGAAAGAATAGAAGTGTTTTTTTGATATGAAGATGAAGAAGAGAAAGAAAGAAAAGAAGAAGAAGAAGAAGAAGCAGAAAACTTTTTTTTACTTCCCGGACAACTTTCTTTTCTTTTTTCCCTTCGCCTTTCTTGGTTTGGCTCCGCGGAAGACACCTGATGACGGTTAGCACCTCTCTGATTGGTCAATTAATAGCCGGGAGACGCTTCAAGGCCAATCAGCATCGAGTTAATTCACGCAGGTCACATGATGACTGTGGATGCCGAGTTTAGAACCGGTTTGTTCCGATGAATCTCCGTCTTGGCATCGTCGGGCTGGTAGTTCCAAGTATTTCCGGCTACAATGTGCTGAGTCATCATGTTGCATCGCCCTCCATATAGATGGCAAGAGCATCAAAGGCCAATTTCTCTCGACTTCGCTCTTCACGAGATGTACCTGGAATCGAACGTCATAAGAACAATGCAAGGATATTAATAGTGACGCAACTGCGGCAAACGCCGAAGAAGCGCATCCATCACGTTTGTATCACGTGATATCGAAGCTTCAAGGTCACATGATATCAATCTCAACAAATTTCAACCAGACGAGCAAACAGACAATACCAGCCGAACGACCTCGTCGGAGGAGATAGACAGCTCAATTGCAAGTGCTATCGCGCACTGGAAAGCTGCAAGCATGGCATCCTTCATTTCCATCCCTCAATTCCTCGTCCCGAGAGGAATGCCCACCTCCTCAGCCCGCATCCTCGCCCTCCGCAACAATGCGGGAATACAGCGACAGCGAGGCGTTCGAGGACAACCAAAAACCTCACTCCAACAATCCACCCCCTTCTCAAGCACCCCCTCCCCGTCCGCAAAACCAAGAAGAGTCAAATCCACGCCCAAACAGCCACAGCAACAGCAACAGCATCAAGAACCCAGCAGCACCCCAACCCTCGAAAAACCAGATAAATTCCGGCCGCCCTCGCACCCAGCTCGACGGGTAATGCTCCCCGGTGGCCGAACCGCAAACGCAGCAAACATCCCCGCTCCAAGGAATTACCCCGGCCCCGCGCGATCCGCGGAGGAGGTGGAGGCGAGTAAGACGAAGAGGTATCCGAACTCGTTCCCGCCCGAGGGGACGGTTATGCATCGGTTTTTGACGAATAGGGGGATACATGTTTGGATATCGATGGTAAAAGCCATACCATACCCCTTCCCTGAACCTCTCTCTAACACAACGAAAACTACAGAGCATCCTCTTCTCCCTCGCAATATTCACATTCACCACAAACTTCAAACAAACCTCTCCCTTCGCACACCTCCTCCCCCCCTGGTCCGGCCTCCTGACAGCCCCATACTCGACCCTCTCGCAAGCACTTAGCGTCTACAAAATGCATGTTGAGGCGGTGTCGCTGCAAACGGCGGAGAAGAGGAAGAGGAAGGTTGATGATGTGGAGAAGAGGAGGATGTATCGTGTTGCGCATGGGATGGAGGAGCCGCAGGATAGGGATTTTGCTGGGAAACTTGGTGCTGGGGGTGGTGGTGGTGGTGTGGAGAGTGGGGAGGAGGGGGGAGAGGCTGTGGTTAAGAAGCAGCCGAAGAGGTGGTTTGGGATTTGGTAGTTGGAAACTAGGCGGCTCGTTGGTGTGGTGTATATGTACAAAAATTTTGTCGAGACCTTATATCGATCCATGCTTCGCGATATGGTTCTCCGCTCCGTTAATCAATTGATCTAAATAAACAACAAAGACCCTCCCCTCCATAGGTGCGCCTTACATGCCTTTTCATAAACCGTACAAAAGGAAACCCAGTTTAATTGTGGTATATCAATCACCCAACTCTCACCCCCTCCAACCCCTCCAAAACCTCATCCCCAACACCCCCTTTCTCAAGCACCAACTTCACCATCCTCGATATAACACTCCTCTTCACCCCTCCCCTCCTCGGCCTCCACACACCCGGAACCTCATCCCCTCCACCCAATGCCGCACCCGTATCCTCCCTCCCAGCACCACCCGCCCCAACAACACCACCCGCCCCAGCCCCCGAATCCAACCCCACACTCGTCGTAGCCGCATTCTCCGAATCCGGAATCCCAGGATGCGTCATCCTAGACGGCGGATCAACCGTTCTAATAGAAAGTAACTTTAACGGATTATCCCCACTCGCAGCACTTCCGTCTTCATCCTCACTCCGTCCAACAGAAACCGCCAACACAGCCTCCGCGACGGCAATTTCTTCTCTACTAGGGTCGAATATGATGTTCTCCCCGACGGAAATGACGAGGAGGGTTATGGGGGGGCGGAACCATTGCTTGTTGTTGATATTCTTCGAGTGAGACGAGGAGCGTGGGTACAAGTATTCCGCTACATCCCAGTCGTCGTCGAAGAGGGGATCTTCTTCACCCTCAGATTTTAGTCTCGGTAGCCGCGTAGACAGGAGAGCGAGGTGAGTCGCTAGCGATAATAGAGGAAGAGGATACGACAATGGTGGTGAGAGGAGTAATATCTACCCAGCACAAACAATTAGCATCCCAATAAAATCAACCCAACCTCCCAGCAGCGCAACGGAAAATCTCAACTCACATCAACATAAACCCTCCACCCCCACCTCCTATTAACCCTCAACCTCCTCATCAACCCCTCCCCACCCGCAAGCACCGCCTCACGCATCATCTCCGCCAAAAAAACCGGCAACGCATCATCATCCCTATACCCCGGAATCTCAATCGACATCTGCACCCACCCACTCCCTGTCGCCTTTCCCCCTCCCCCATCCCCTTCCCCTTCCCCCTCATCCCCCCCCTCCTCATCCCCATCCCCACCTACACCTACCCCCCTAACATCCTCCTGCCTAACATCAACCTTACAAATCTCCGCCTTAACACCAACCACAACCTCACTCCCATCCGCGAAACCCACGCGCGCACTCCCGTTCGCGCCGGGAAGGATGTCTGTTTCTGCGGTGAGAGGGCGGAATTGTGTTGGAGAGCGGCCGTCGGGGCGGATGGGGCCGTGGGAGGAGGGCGGGAGGGAGAGCGAGGTGTGGAGGTAGGCTAGTTCGGAGGGGGAGAGGTGTGAGGGGGAGGTGGTGGTTGTTGTGGGTTGGGAGGGAGCCATTGTTTTGGTTGGTTTTCGGTTTCGGTGTATGAGGATTGAGGGAGAGGTGTGAAAGAGCTTTCTGAATTATGATCAGAGAAGCTCGTTCACACTTTCTCTGCAGGTGTGTGTGGGTGGTGTAATTCGTAGAATTGGTTGATGTTTATTGAAGTGTGGGAGGAAGCTTCTTTCCTTACTTTAGCTTCAACCATTTTTTTTTATCAGATCGTGGAATTTTAGCGTGTCTAGCAAGGTTT